TATTTTCATCTAATGTTTTGATAAGGCTCAGGTTTTTTCTCTATGGTGCTACAGCATGTTGGAAGAGATTTTTCTTTCATGTTTTCTAAACTATGTAATATAAGTCTCATTTGCTTTTTTTGTCCCGTTGTTAGAAGTAAGCTATCATCAGGGTTCAATTTGATAACCGTATAAGCAAGGGCTGAATGTTGCTGGATATCTGGAAGTTTCAACCGATTTGCTTTGCAGCTACATCCAGTAGATTTTAAAAGGATAGGATATTTAAATTTACTTTTTTCATGCCACTGTGTGAGAGTGGACTTCCGAAAATGGAGAGGGAAGAATCTCTCCTTCACTGGTAGACATTCATGTGTAAGATGTATTATAAAAATGTTATATCTCAGCGTACTTTGAAGCAAGGTAACTGAACTTCTGACAGGACTTTCTATATTGGGTATTTTTTTTTCTATAATCAGGTAAAAAAGTTGGGGGGTTCACTCTCTACTTACAGTTACAGATAAACCCCAGTTTACAAACCCTTGGAAAGAGTAGTTGTTGACCACTTGGATCCTTTCATTTATGCAGTTTATGCTTCTAGTGACTTACTCAGTTTTTTTCTTATTCCTTCCCCGGACAGAGCATGTAGTACAAGAAGCATTAAGTCCATTTAGTTGAGGGAGATCAGACAGGTTTAATAAAGGCAGTTTATAATTTGCTGCGTATTCTGGAAGTCCAGAGAACTGCTCTGGTTGCATAGCAAGGTTGATAAAGCCACAAAAGCCTATTACCTCACCCAGTACAAATTCTTATTATTGTATTTCTGCTTTACTGTTTCTTGGCATTTCTTTTATTTATTATCTTTGAACTGTGAGAAGGCCTTCTTTGAGAAATTTTAAACTTTTTTCCATTTCCATGAGGTTGCACTCCTGCTCCATCCCGCCCAACCTTCCAGTTCCAGCCTCTTTATAGCAAAGCTAGAGGCTGTCAGGTGACTCGTCTTACTTATGATTGCTGTGTCAGAATGGAGTGATCGTTACATTACTGAGTTTGTTGGTATTCTACCATCAAAGCAATTTAAAAAATCAGTGAAGCTAAATACATTTAATACATTTCAAATCTCAATTTATAAATGCATTATAAAACAGTAACATTTATAAAAATAAAGTTTAACTCTTTAAAATAAAATGTATTTGTAAACATCTAATTGTTAAATATATAGTATTCTAATATGAATTAACAAGTAACAATAAAAAACAACAAACCTAACCACAGATAAAAAGACATGCTAGTGAAAATTTATAATAACATACAATTTTATCTTTAAATACAATCTCTTATTTTTTATTTATTTTTAAAGAATATTTAGAGAGCGAGCATGCATGAGCAGGGGAAGAGGCAGAGGGCAAGGGAGAGAGAGCATTTCAGGCAGACTCGCTGCTGAACTGGAGCCCGACACAGGACACAGGGTTACATCTCAGGACCCTGAGATCACCACCTGAGCCGAAATCAAGAGTCCGACGCTTAAGTAACTGGGCCACCCAGGCGCCCTTACGATCTTTTAAAACCAGGGTTTCCCAAGGTGTCTTATTTAAGTTGCACGTATATTTTTGTGCATATTTTCCACTTTGTGGGAAAGGCTTTTCTAACTTGATACAGTAAAGTCATGGTGAGGAGACCGTTCTAAGCCAGTTGTAAGCATTTTCCTCTAGGCTCCTTTATCTCCAAATTTCACCTCTTGTGTGATGACTTTTGTTGAGCGGCTTTATTTTTTTTTTTTTTAAGATTTTATTTATTTATTTGAGAGAGAGAATGAGAGACAGAGAGCATGAGAGGGAGGAGGGTCAGAGGGAGAAGCAGACTCCTTGCCGAGCAGGGAGCCCGATGCGGGACTCGATCCCGGGACTCCAGGATCATGACCTGAGCCGAAGGCAGTCGCTTAACCAACTGAGCCACCCAGGCGCCCTGTTGAGCGGCTTTATTGTTGTTTTCTTGCAGGGAGACCAGGCCTTTTCCAGGTAGCTGGTAGTAGCCCTTGCTTCACAGGAGCATCTGCATCTTCCCTGGCTCGGCACGTGCGGCCGTGTGACCGCGTGGCCGTGTGGCCACGTGGCCGGGGTTCACACGCCGCTTTCATTCAGGTCACTGCTGCTGTGTGTGCATCTGAGCTCTGGGACTCAAGTAGGAGTTATTGTTTGCCTTGTTGGCATTTTCATCCTTCTCCCGAAGATCATGAGAGCACAAAGGAATACTTTCTAAACGAGGGAACTTTCAGTTTGGAACTAATTTTGAGTGAAGAGGAGTTTTATTCAGCAATTTTTTTTTTTTTTTTTTTACATCCCAAGATGTAAATAATTTGCATCTGACGCCCAAATTCAAATACTGAAATGGTGGCATTTGTATGAAGGCAGACACTGGTGTTTGATAACTGGTAGAACACTGTAACTGGGTGGTGGGGTACCAGAGTGACAGCCCCTGCCTGCGCCCCGCCCGTAGCGTCCACACGTGCTGCCTTTCTCCACGGCGGGGAGCGAGACCAGCCATCCGTGCCTGTTCTCTTCTGACCTCCGCTGCTTTCCCTCCTCACAGTCTTTATTCTGTCCCTTTCAGTTGGCCCCTTTCTGTCTATGACACCTGCCCCCAGGCTTCTCCTTTTTGGGAAAGGGGGGAAAAAGACCAATAATTTAACTACTTGACTGTATTCATTTCTGTTCTTCAGTTTTATGGACCAGATTTCTTTCTTCTTCTTTTTTTTTTAAATTTTATTTGTCCGAGAGAGAGAGAGACGGAGAGTGGCAGGCAGAGGGAGAAGCAGGCTCACTGCTGAGCAAGGAGCCCAATGCAGGACTCAGTCCCGGATCGTGACCTGAGCCAAAGGCAGACGCTTAACCAACTGAGCCACTCAGGAGTCCCTAGACCAGATTTCTAACTGGGACTTAGGGAATTAACTGTTCTTTCGCTTCACTTTAGTCTTCCCTTATTTGGCTTCAGTCCCTGTCTTTTCATTGAAATTCTGGTTTTGAATGATACCTAAAACCTATCTACTTACTACTTCCTGGGGTCTTTTTCAGCTCATTTCACACTGTTCACCTCCTCTTGAAGAGCCCTACCCCATCTTGGCTGGATAACCTTGAGTCTTAGTAAGTTTCATTCTCTCCTCTTAAGATAACAATTCTCAGGTTTTTGAGTAGCGGGTTAAACCGTGTAAATGAAAATACTTGGCATCTAGTTAGTAGCTCAGCGAATGGTGCCTGCCCCTAACTTGACCATCTCCTGCCTGGCTCTCTGAATATCTAAGACAGTTGTGTTGTTGCTGTTGTTCTTTTTACCCCCTTCACCCCTTTCCCTAGGTGAAGACCTTCTCTAAGGCTCATTTTTTCAACGTAATCTAATCTCCCTTTCCCTTGGAAATCTCATCTACTTGCAAAGCTCTAGCTGATCAGTGTAGGCTGCCAGCAGCCAGACACATACCTTGAGACTGCTGGCCTCAGCTCAGGCGTTCCAGTTCTGGGAACCTCTTGGAAACCTTCCTTTGAAGTGCTTCTTACTGCCTCACAGCGAACATATCTGAAGCCAAACCTTATTTTTTTTCCACTTGCCCACATGTTTTGTGGGAATATAAATATTCATCCCAGTAAACCCGGCAGAAAAACCTTACCATCATCTTTGATGCATCCGCCCACCCTGCTTTTTAAAGCTCTTTTTATATTTTCCCTTTCTGTCGTGTGCACAATTTTCCCTTCTCTGAATTACCTTCACCAGTGGTCTTATGCAGCGGGCCTCCTCATTGGCCCAGCGGCCGCCAGCCTTCTCTACATTCTGCCCTGGTCTGTTAGCCACAGTGTCCGAATCATATTTGTGGCTTCTACTCAGGAACTTGTGAGGGATTCTTGCTGATCAGAACACAAAGGATTTTCAGTCCGGCCTCAGTTTATCTTTCTCATCTTAACCCCAGCCATTCATCTGATGGGTTTGCTCCCTGTTCTCAGAACATGCCTGTATTCTTTGCAATTGTCAGTCCTGGGAATGAGGGAAGGGCATGTACCCCAGTGCATTTTGAAGTTAGTCCCCTCTGAGAGTGGCTGGTACCGAATCCTGCTAAGGCTTCAGGGAGGCTTATGAAATGAATTTCGGAGCTGACTTCCCCCGTTGGTCAAAGGTTGCCCCATAGGTGTTAACTCCTCCATACTTCTGGGCAGTGAAGGAATGCAGAGCCCTTACTTTCTGGTTGGACCTGCCTGAAACCAATGAATAGCCTTCAAGGAATTGGTTCTCCGTAAGTAGAGCAAGAGATTGGGTCAAGAGATTTTTGAAGTCGTGCACAACAGGTGTCTGTAATCATGTGTATGAAAAAAAAAACCACCCAGAAGTACAGAGAATGTAGAGTGAAACAGTATGTCTCCTCCTCCTTGTATTCTAGTTCCAGGGGTCAGCAAACTGCATTTTACCATGGCTCCTTGTTTTTGTAAATAAAGTTTTTTATTGGAACAGAGCCATGCCCATCCATTAAAGTATTATCTATGGTTGTTCTCAAGCTACAGCATCTGAGTTGGGTAGTTATCACAGAGACTTTGTGGCCCATGAGGTTAAACATTTGGCCCTTTAAGAAAAAGTTTGCTGATTTCTGTTCTAGTCATCCTGGTTTCTTTCCTGTAAACACCCACTGTTAACTGTTTGCTGAGATTTGGCATGCATTAACAACTGTACTATCTACCTCCCTCCTTCCCACACCCCTCCACACACATACATACAATGACTATATACATAATAGGTGCTTTTTTCTAACTTAAAAATATCTTACTGATTTTTCTTTATTGGTATAAATAAAACATTCTAATTTTTACTTTTCTTATATTTTAGAATATAATACTCTGATACACGGAGCAACCATTTATTTAACCAGTTCCCTGTTGATGGACATAGAGTTATTTTATCTTTTGTTATTACAGATGGCATTCCATTTATACATGCTTCTAATACAAAAGGATGAACTCCCCTAGTGTTCCCGTCTTAAACTTTGTTTCAGTCCTGTACCTGCCATGCCCACGGTATGCGTTCACTTTCTCTTGAGGATTGCAGGATCCTTAGGGGTGGGAGTCGTTGGGCTAGACCTTCGTTACGAGGTTCTGTGTAAGTTGGATCTTGAGGAATCAAGGCGAATCACAAGAAGGAGGTAGGAGGGGCAGTAGGACTGCATGATTGAAGGCTGGTGGTTACCAAAAGCTTAACAGGTTCTTCTGTTGTACTGCCCAGACTGTAGCCCTGAGCCAAGTGGCCGTTCTTCTGCACTTGAAATGTGGCTCGGCTAAATGGAGATGTGCTCGAGCTGGGTGTGGTGAGTAGATAGATGCCCGGGGGGAAAAAAGGAATGCCATGTTCCCAGAGTAGTATTTTGGCTATATTGGGTTAAGTAAAATATTATTAAAAATAATTGTATCTGTTTTTACTTTTTAAAATGTGGCTACCAGAAAATATAAATTATGTGGCTTGCATTATTTTCTCCTGGACGGTGCTGCTATGCAGGCTCACCCTTCAATATGGAGTTTGGGGCTCACTTTTAGGCAGTGAGGTCACATGACGAACTAACTTCGTTTTACAAAGATGAAACTGGTCGTGTTGTGGTGCATTGTGGGAACTATTTGTAACTGAGTGCTTACTGTGTGCTCAGCATCACCTCAACAGCTCTCTGTGTAGTAGCTCATTTTTTTTTTTTTTTTTTTTAGAAGTGGGTATCTTTATTCTTTTTTTGTGTGTGTGTGTGTAGTAGCTCATTTAATCTTCACAGCGACCCTGCCACTTGAGTCACGGGGAGGTAAACTTCCGGGCCCGAGGTCATACAGTAAGTGGTAATGCCTTGGCCGTGGCCCCCGGCAGTCTGATACCAGAGCAGGTCATCCTGAAGGTGAATTAGAAAAAGGTGCACTGGGGCGCCTGGGTGGCTCAGTCGTTAAGCGTCTGCCTTCCGCTCAGGTCGTGATCCCAGGGTCCTGGGATCGGGCCCCGCATCGGGCTCCCTGCTCAGCGGGAAGCCTGCTTCTCCCTCTCCCACTCCCCCTGCTTGTGTTCCCTCTCTCGCTGTGTCTCTCTCTGTCAAATAAATAAATAAAATCGTTAAAAAAAAAAAAGAAGAAAAAGGTGCACTGCTTGCGCACAGTAAGCACTTAGGCCTCTGACAACCAATGATCATTTTCTTAACCAACTGAGCCACCCAGGTGCCCAAGAAAGCAAGAATTTCTTAAAATGGTACTTGCTTAATCAAGAGCTGGCTTCCAAGGCTGTTCTTTTGATTTAGTCCTAATACCAACTATTTTCTAAAATGTTAAATTTTCCCCAATTTTTAGCTCAAAGGTCTCATCTGATAAATGCTTAAATCTTGCTGATCTTTACTGTGGAATTAGAATTCAAGTTTATGTCGTGAGTTGAGCAATGACATGCACACTAAGAATTTCAGATTTTATTCTTATCTCTGATATCTCTGACTAGGACCTTTGTAAATCAAAGTACTTCTGTTTTTACCCTGTCAAATATCAGATGTGTTTTGGGGGTTTCTTTCTCTTTTTTTCTCTCTTAGGTTTCTAGAGACTCACAGGCTTTAAAAGTTAATTGAAGGTGGGCCATTAGGTTTGGAGGAGACATTTAGAAGCAATTTGTGTAGCCCCCAGTTTCCCAGCCTGGGAACTAGTGATGTGTTGGATCTGGTGATTCTTTGCTGTGGGGGCTGGGGGAACGTCCTGTGCATGGTGTCCCGTCCATAGCAGCCCCTGTGGCTTCTGCCTGCCACGTGCTGGTAGTTTACCTTCAGTTGTGACAACCAGTGTCTCTGGACGTTGCGTAAAGACCCCCGAGAGACAAAATGGCCCAGGTTCAGACTTCTGACACAGCGCCTGTCCCGTAAGGGGAGGTTCTCTTCTCTGGAACGCTGGCGTGGAGGAAGAAGCTTACTGCCTTCTCTAGCGGTCCAGTTCGGCTGCACGTGGCTCTCTAGGGGGAGAAATCTTTTCTCTGGGGTACGCTGAAGTCTGCCACCTAAATGTTTGCTACCATCTGTGACTTTATAGTTCTGCCTCTTAGGGTCGCACAGCGTAGATACAGACCCACAGACAAACTTTCGCAGTCATGGGAACATAGGCACACGGTCCTTCCTAGTCCCTTATTTGATTGTTTTAGAGCCTGAGTTGGCAAACTTTTTTTTTTTTAAAGATTGATTTATTTATTTGAGAGAGTGAGAATGAGAGAGAGAGAGAAAGAGAGAGAGTACATGGCGGGGGAGGGTTACAGGGAGAAGCAGGCTCCTCGCTGAGCAGGGAGCCCGATGCGGGGCTCGATCCAGAGACTCCGGGATCACGACCTGAGCCGAAGGCAGTCGCTTAACCAACTAAGCCACCCAGGCGCCCCGGCAAACTTTTTTTTTTAATGGGCCAGGTAATATTTTAGGTTTTTAAGGTCTCTGTTGCATAGTTTTGCCTTCCTTCTTCCATCCCTCCCCCTTCTGTCCCTCTTTTTATTTTTTGCAACCCCTTAAAAATGTAACAGCATTCTTAGCTGACACAGGCTGGTCGTGGCCTCGCGGCAGCCTGCCAACCCCTGGTCTTAGAGCCTCTTCCGCCTGGGATGATCTTCAGGGGGAGGGCCTTCTCCACGGTGGTGCCCCGGAGCCGTACAGAACTTTGGGTAAGAGCTGAGCAGCACAGAATAATGGACTTGTCACTAACTGTTAAACGTACTTAAAGTACTGTTTTGCTTGTTTGAGCGTGGTCACATTTTCAGCTTAAAATGACCTTAATGCCAACCAAGACTTCGGTTTGTCTTTTTTATTAGGCCACATGACACCGCCTAGGATATTTTTAGACTTGAGCATAGGACCATTCATATATCCATCTATATATGTATATATTTTTTAACAGTTTTAATTTTTTTTATTGAAGTGTAGGTGACACACAGTGTTAACGTGAGTTTTGGGTGTACAGCATGGTGATGGGACAGCTCTGTGTGTTCTCTACCTCACAAGTGTGGCTACTGTCTGTCACCGTACAAGGCCACCACGGCACCGTTGCTGTCCCTTTCATTCCCACGACGTACTCACTCCATAACTGCAAGCCTGTATCCGCACTCCCCTCCCCCCATTTTGCCCTTCCTCCCGCTGGCAGCCATCAGTTCTCTGTAATTATGAGTCTGTTCCTGCGTTTTGCTTGTTTGTTTATGCATTTGCTTTGTTTTTTAGATTCCACGTATAAGTGAAACCATATGTAATTGTCTTTCTCTGATTTCACTTAGCATAATACCCTCTAGGTCCATCCATGTTGTTGCACGTGGCAAGATCTCATTATGTTTTAAAGATTTCATGTATTTATTTGAGAGAGAGAGCACAAAAGCGGGGGGGGGGAAGGGCAGAGGCAGAGGGAGAAGCAGGATCCCCCGCTGAGCAGGGAGCCCAAAGTGGGGCTCGATCTCAGGACCCCGGGATCATGACCTGAGCCGAAGGCAGACACTCAACTGATTGAGCCGCCCAGGCGCTCCAGGATCTCATTTTTTTTTTTTGGCTGAGTAATATTCCTGTGTGTGTGTGTGTGTGTGTGTGTGTGTGTGAGAGAGAGAGAGAGAGAGAGAATACCACATCTTTATTCATCCTTCTGTTGATGGACACTTTAGTTTGCTTCCCTATTTGGCTATTGTAAATAATGCTGCAATAAACATTGGAGTGCCTAGATCTTTTCAAATTAGTGTTTTTGTTTTCTTTGGGTAAATGCCCTGTACTGGGTCATAGGGTAGCTCTATTTTTAAGTTTTTGAGGAGCCCTTGTACTGTTTTCCACAGTGGTTGCATCGGTTTGCATTCCCACCAGGTGCACGAGGGTTCCTTTTCTCCACATCCTCACCAACACCTGTTGTTTCTTAGCTTTTTGATTCTAGCCATTCTGACAGGTTTAAGGTGTAAACTCATTATGGTTTTGATTTGCATTTCCCTGATGAGGAGAGATGTGGAGCATCATACACCATGTGGCTGTTAGCCATCTGGATGTCTTTGGACAAATATCTGTTCAGGTCCTCTGTCCATTTTTAATCAGATTATTGGGGGTTTTTTGGTGTTGTATGAATTCTTTATATCTTTTTATATCCAGCTATATTAAATCTCAGCTACAGCCATTTCTTGCTCTAGCCTTTTGAGAACTTTCTGGATCCTATTTTGTCCTATAAAATCTTAAAGGAACTTCTCTTGTCTTTCTGTTACTTGAATGTTTGGTAAGCATATCTGGCTCTTCCACTCAAGGTACAAGTAAGAATTCGAGACGTAGCTAAGAACTAAATCTCAAATCACAAATCTTAGAAAATAAGGTAGTTTTACTATGTGGCTATAGCTGGTCTCTGTTCTTTTTTAAAAAAATTATTTTGTAGAATTATACTTGGATCTGCATTGTAGCATCCATAAATTAGAGGTTTTGGTCATTACAAATGGCTTTCAAAGTCCTTAGACAGTGAGTCAATGACCATGACAGAAAAACTTTAATTCATATTCAAAAATAAAAGAATTTTAAGTAATGATTTTTTTCCAAAAAACAGCTGATACATAATATGTATGTTTTTTTAATTTCAGAAAGGATTTACACCAGCTGCCCCGGTTCATAGCAATAAAGAAGATCCAGCTACCCAAACGAATTTGGGATTTATCCATGCATTTGTCGCTGCCATATCAGTTATCATTGTATCTGAACTGGGCGATAAGACCTTTTTTATAGCGGCCATCATGGCAATGCGCTATAACCGGCTGACGGTCCTGGCGGGGGCCATGCTCGCCCTGGGCCTGATGACGTGCTTATCAGGTGAGTGCGCTTTGTCCTCCTCGTGACTTTACTGAACTAAGGAGAAAGCATGGTGTGGGGCATTGAGTCGTTGACTCATTTAGCTAGCTGGTCAGAGCACTTAGTTTGACCAAGTTCCAGAATTTAGTAAACAGAAAAATAGTGTCCAGTACATACATGACTAAAAACCATGCTGTACTTTCAAAAAAATGAAAATTTCAGCGATTCACAGCCAAGATCCACACTCATCATTGCTTCACTAGTTTTTTATCCTTGGTTTGGCTGTGTATACCCTTGCCTTTTTTTCTTTTCAGTCCAGATAAGCTTCTAATCTGATCTCTTAGAAATAGGACTCAAGTCACAACAGAGGATTATCGATTGAAGGACACTTGAAGGACGTGGTGGAAAGCAGTAACTTTTGAAGGACATTTGCTAATCAAGTAACTGAAGAGTCACTTTCAGTTTGTTGTGTTTGATTAAGATGTTCTTACCCATTATAATAAGGGGATGAAATGTTCTTAGATTCCCAGTTTGTGTTACTATTGCAAAGGCTTCAGTTTGAGAATTAGACCATGAGAAAGGAAACTTAACACTGAATAATGAGGCATAGCTGAGCCTCTGGTTCAGAAGCCACCCCAAGCCGCCTAGCTGGGTGGGAGACTGAGCTTTCCCCTGAGAGTCAGACGGGGGTGGGAACCTGGCCTACTGATTAGTTCCTTAACCTGCCAGCCTCAGTGTCCCCATCTGTGGACTGGAGACAGACGATAATGCCTACGTCCCTCGTCGGGTTGCGGTCTGTGTTAAATGTTTCAGGTGCTCGGTCCTTCAGCCCTCTGCGCCTCTCCCACCTCTCAGGCAAGCTGGTTCTTCAGGTACGGAGCAGGTTCTGGTTTGGGCTGCTTGGACGCCTGTTAGAGTTTACGTCGTTTTAAACCTATTATAAATGAACAGTTTACTGATTAAAATAATCGGACTACTTTCCACATTTTAGAAGTTAGTTTTAGTATCATTCATATTTCCTAATAACATAATTTTTTCTTCCAAAGCAAATTTTGATATAGGAAATAGGAAAAGTGGAGTGGGTTGTTGGTGAAATCATGTGTTTAGAATGAGTTTGAATAATACCGGAGGATTTTAGTTTTGAAACTTCTGGCTTTGCGGGTAACTGGAAAACTGGCCTTTCTGCCCGTTCCCCCCCTCAGAACCCGGTGCCAGGGGTTCCCCCACCTCTTCCACGCGATCAGTTGGGGGCCGGCTGAGTCCCCGGCCCAGGCCCGCCTGCTGCCCGCTGCCCTGCTGGCCGCGCCGCCCACCGCTGCTGTGGGGAACGGGCTCCAGCAGGGGTCTGCACGCCTTTTCCTTGGGTATCCAGGACCACTTGGAGAAACTCTGTACCCCCGCTCACATGGAAGTTGTCGAAAAGTTGTCACCGTAAGTTTAAGGAGTTGCAAAGGTCTAGTTTCTGCTATATTGTGTAAAATAAAACTGTTAAGGTATTCTTTTAAAATAAGTCAAATGGGATCTAAATACCATTAGCAGTTTGATAACCCACTGTCACCTTCATTCCTTTAAAAATACCTGAACAAACTCTTAACATTTGGACATTGACATTGTTTTTTCCCCTTTAATTCTTACTTTCCTCCTAGAATTTTACCCTAATGATTATAACTTTCTGCTTCAAAATCTTTCATGGATTTCGCTCGTTCAGATTTAGCTCGTTCAACACTGTCATTTATCTGCAGCACAAATATGCATATAAATTGAAATTTTTTTTAAAGATTGATTTAGTTATTTTATTTTATTTATTTATTTATTTATTTTAAAGATTTTATTTATTTATTTCAGAGAGAGAGAATGAGAGAGAGCACATGAGAGGG